AGGTCTCAGTTTTTGCAGTACAACGGCTGCCCTTCAAACCGAAACGCATTACTGCTTCACGGCAGAAATAGGCAGGGTGGTGGTACCTACCTGTGCGGACTCACAAGACGTTCTACCACCAGTAATTACGCTAATTATAATTTTGCGAGGTTTTTGTTACACGATGTTATTCATTCACCGTTTGCACTGAGCTTCTTACCACCGCCCTTGAATTAACTCTTTCCATCATATCGTTTGATGAACTTCTCAAGGCAGCTCGATGGTATGGTGGTTGATCACGCTGACTGCACGACTATACTAACCCAGTTCGATTTTTGTTAAGGATTTTGTATATACTAGTTGTTCTCATCTTTGATTTATATTTGTTAACAATAACAAATGAAGAAATCTTTGTTAACGTTCTGTTAAAAGTTTGTTTTTTATTTCATTCCATTTCTAGCAAGCTAGTGAAACCTAAGCACAGATATACAATACATAATGATAGATATTTGATAAATGATCGAATCGTGACTTATATGATCTATGCTTGTGAAAATACTCCCAGTGTGTGTCCAAACAAACTATGCTTAAATAATTAGCTCTGAAGAAAGCTGTAGATTCATCTGCCTACGAAGACAAAATAGGTGTAAACAAGGTATTCCAGTTTGAACTGGAACTGACATTGAAAATGAACTAGTGCAATGAACAATTAATAACGGTAGACATGTATTATATATCTATATCTATTGTATATCTACTAGTGGTCCCCAGTAGTCGAAATTCGGCTATAATTAATTGAAATTATATGTTTGAACGGTATTATGATTCTATTGTCAAATTATATAATCACAGTTTTGGCCAAGACTACACTTTAGGCAGATATTAATAAAGACAAACAATATTTAATCTATTTTCAATTTGACCACAGACTATAATAAGCAATATGAAAAGATTTTTATGGATTTATTGTATTATTTATGCATAATTTTAAAAAAATATAAGCATTCTGCACTTCTCAATATTCTGTATAAGTGTGGGAATTTTCATTCTCCTCCGTCCGCGCAATTTTCGTAAAAACGGGTACTAAGTTTTTGCTTCACGTATTAATATATAGATATATATATAACGACAAATAAAGATTAAAAACTTGGTGGATATTATTTTCCTCAATATCTTGGCGGTGCACACGCGCCTTGTATTTTCAATTCGCTCAGATTTGTATACAAACAAGACACTCAATGCATCGGTTACAAATTGATATGTTCAATTGGAGCAATGACTCATGCTCGCGGATGTTAAACTTTAATAGGGTTGATTCTTGCAAAAATTATTATTGATATTTGCGATTAAACAAAAACAACCATAATATGTGTAGTAATAGGAAAGATAAATAAAGAGATGCCACTCTTAAATGAAATGTTTCTAGCAGTAGTTTCTGCCATAAAAATGATAACAAATTGGATGGGCAGCAATTGCGTGTACTCCGCTGGTTCCTGTGCTTGCGTATTCTAATAAATAATACAATTAATAATAATAATAATAATAACAAAGAGCAAGTGAACTGGACTTGTATCATACTAATGTCTTTGTTTCATCAAGGTCATAATCTTTATCAAAGATGGTTTACGGAAAGCGACATTGATAAAAATGAAATTCTTTCGCAAAATTACAAAATATAATTAAAACTAATTTTACGGTTCTAATCTACTATTTGTTGTTGTCAATAAATTATTTCGTTTACATTTAGATTCGACAATTCTACTTTTAAAAAAAGGAGATTAAAAAATAAAAAGTATAATAGTTTACATTATGTCTCGTGGAAATTAAGGAAAACACTGTAATAAAACGTGTTCTTTTTATTTTTTTATTGCTCGTGTAGGCAGATGAGTATACCCGGCAGGCTGGTTCTGGTCCAGCGGGGTATTCCGGGACAACAGCGGCACCGTCTGGGCGGCCCGACGGGCTGCCTTACCGAGACGGCCGACGTTTCAGAGCCTTCGATTCGCCTCGAAGGCTCCGTCGGCTGGGCGTCCTTGGGGTGAGCCGCGTCGTCTGGTTGTAGTGTTGACCGCGGTAGCCCCCCTACCTCATCCGGGTTCTGACCTCGGAGGGGATCGGACGTCGGGTGTAAGAGTGCAGGGGCGTCGTTTAGTGGGTGGGCCCTAAAATCCTTGGGCCCGCGGTCTGCTCACAACACCATGCAGATCGTAGAGTCTCACATACCCCGCGCGCCCCTTTTGCGCGGGGACCTCGTAGGAGGTTCGGCCCTCTACCCGGAAAAAAAAAAAAAAGAAAGAAAATAAAGCAGATGAGTATACAGCCCACCTGACGGAGAGTAGTTACCGTCGCCCATGGACTTCAGCAATGCCAGGGGCAGAGCCAAGCCGCGGCCTACCGAAAATATTCCATAATTTTAGATTTACATTTTTGGGAAGAGAAACCGCGGTGCCTAGCTATTCTTATATTAGCATTCCTTTTGTAGTACTACTACACTGGGTGCCAACCCTGCGCACTATTGGACTCCTGCCAGTTATCGACTTACCAATTGTTGCCTGCGACATGGTAACTTTCGCAATTGTACCGTGTGTTCGTCTAAAAGGTTTTAATCTCGGATAAGTAATTGAGTTTTTCGTTTTCGCTAACACATGACTGTCATTTCCAAATGAAATAGGACGTGATTACATCTAAATATTTGCTATGAACGCAGACCGACGCACTCGGGTTGATAAAGAAAAATAACCATTTTTAGACCAGGCGAAGAATTTGTTCATTTGTCATCTAAACTTGTTGTGATAGGTCTCACGTGTAGGTCAAGCAGGGTCAGACACACCCTATCTATTATTGTTGAGCCGTTATAGATCTCACTGAGATTGGGACTGACTTCTCGTCTTCATATTAACTATATTTTGTCTCCTTCGCTGGTTACGTCTTCTCATTGACTACTTGTCAAATTGTTAAATTGTAAGTAATTGACAAAAAAACTTATTTATGATCTATCAAATTAATTGGAAAGTTCATAAAAAATTATATTATTAAATTAAATTATTACAATAATTAATATTAAATAGAATTCTATATATCAACATTAAATTCGCATTACGATCTTATTCTCTCAAAACCACAGTACTCGTGAAAAGGGTTCAAAATGATGAATCGTGATAAAAACCGATTCACTAATAAGTCCAAACATGTATCCCTATTTTTATGCTTGAAATAATGATTTAATTATTAATAAATAAACTTTGAATTAATTAATAACATTCCTAAACTAAAACTAAGAGAAGATGAAGTAACAAGATACCAGGGTGACATAAAACTCGAGAGGTATTAACAAAATTATCTCGAGTTTGTCGAAAGTTCTCAAAGTGTAAAATGAGAGACCTTCGATGGTTAATAAGTGTCAGGCGTCAATCAAGACGGCTCTCTGTAAAAGTGGCCTTTAGCCCCTTTCGAAGTTACCAAACACGATATTGAAAAGGAAAGAAAATCGTGCTCTCAACGTTTATGCACGCCTAGTATATGTATGCATGCATTTAGATGATGATAATAAATAAACTTAATGAAAAAATTAAATAATAAATACTATTCTCGTAAATAATTTTATTTACTAACTAACAATATTTACTAACAATCACGCCACGTTTACTGGTCCCGTGCTAAGCTCGTAAAGAACTTGTGTTACAGGTATCAACCAGATAACGGAAATAAATGTAAGATTTTTATTAAACACATACATATATTTAATATACATCCATAACGCTGGAAAATACATTTTATATTTATCATACAAATATCTTCCCTTGGCGGGATTCGAACCGGCGACCCACTTGTGCAGTGACCATTTACTCCACTACACCAGACGGCCGTTGAATAAACTCATATAGCATGTCAAGCATTAACCGAAGCCTGATTTATTCATCACAATGTAAATATTCCCTGAGACTTGAGGTCGAAATCCATTTAAATAAAGCCTTTCAAAACCGTGTGCTAGCTCCGCCGATTGCTGATACGACATAAGACGGGATGTTATTAAACAATGCCGCTATAAAATATGCAGCCATGCGCTGTTTGTTAGGTTATTTTTGGGAATACCGCCATATCTCGCTTTATCTACGCACGAGGGTCGACGGGTGTTTGCGTTTACCCCATTAGGCTTCGTTTCCACCCGCCCCGAGCAAACTGGGAGCCCTTGAATAATTTATCGGGAGCGCGTCACTTGGAAGATAAACAGTTTGAAGAATTGTCGGGTAAATGAGATTCCTGAGGCGTTTTTTCGACAGCTCGCGACTTATCTTCATCCGTCACGGTAATTAACTAATCAGCGAGCTTCATCACTGTGATTCTTCTGTTAACGCGGATTTAGTGTAAGATCCGTAAACAAATGAATTCGCGGGTACTTCTTAAAATTTATGAATTTGCGAGACATTCTTAGTTAGCTATTAAAGTAGGCAGTTTAATTTTTATTACCAGTGTAAATAGGCTAGTTTCCCGTGTACTTTGTGCTTTTATTACGTTTCGCAAGTCCGTGGTTGTCAATTCTCAGATATGAGCAATCTTTAGTAATGTTTGAAATAAGAATCTTCGACGGTAAATTTGGTATTTGTTTATCTGAATATTTGCATGCGTACCGTAACGGGGCATCATCATCATAGGACGTGTTCGCTCGTCGAGACTAAATCACCGTTCGTGAGTCATGATTCGACACCCAACATTATTTATTCCTGTTCTCGGAGAAAACTTATTAAAATATTTATCCAACGAATAGCACCTGGATAGAATAACTTCTATAAGAATTCGACTTTGAACCGAATAATTTTATAACGATTTGTTTTCGCTCTATTTACTCCGATCGTTTGTTTATATTCTGCAAATGTTATTCGATGTTCTAAATTATGGGTTGAATGGGATCGAATGAATTGAAGCGTTAGTACTGTAAGTGCGTGTGAGCACGGGCACGGGTCGGGCTCCCCGTCCGCTGTCCCCAACTCTGGCGCGCCACTCACCCGTGCCCGTGCTTGCAGGATGCACGCGGTGGGACTACACTCCGCGCTCGCCATCCGCCGCGAGCGGAAGCGCCGCGCCGAGCAGCAGCGCGCTCGCGAGCGCCGCTACTCGCTGCAGTCCTCCGAGTCCGGCCTCACCAGCCCGCACTGCTCCACCGGCAGCTTGGAGAGGCGCCGCTACCGGAACACCAGGGCCGCCGAAAATGAAGTTGTCTCCTCCGTTGGCATGCTGCACCTCGGTGTCGTCTTCCTCGTGCTCGGCGTCTTCCTGGTCGCCAGCGGATGGTTGCCTGACGACGTCACCTCTTGGAGTAGTATCGGCTCCGTCAGCTGGTTCAACGAGCTGGTCTGCTCGGGTTTGTTCGCGCTTGGGATCGGGATATTTCTGATCGCTCTGCACAAGTACCTCACCAAGAGCGAGGAGGAGGCGCTAGAGGACTATGTGCAGAGACAGCTAACGAGGTCACGATCAGGGCACCGGCTGGAGAGGGACGCGGAGACAGGCGGCATGCACACGAAGAACGCGCGGCGAGCCCGCGCCACCGAGGTGCTGCCGGATGCGACCTCCGAGACGTACACGCAGCCCCCCGAGCGCGCGCACGGGTTCGTCAATGCTCTGGCGGTGAACGGCGACGCTCTGCGGGAGATGCCGCTCGAGCAGATCGCGGAGGAGGAGGTATCGGTGACGTCGGAGTGCGACCGGCGGCTCGGCAAGTTCAACAAGGACACGTACTCGACCCCGTCCGTGGCGCCCAGCCTGAGCCCGGGCTCGCCGTCCGACACGCGGGAGCTGCTCTCCGACGGGCGCTATATGGTCATGTCGCGCATATGAACGCGCCTTTGCTCACGCTTACTTACTGCCTTCGACTTTAAGAGAACGTTTCCAGGTCGCGTCCTCTGCGTCTGATCGGACGTACACACATGTAACACGCGCTGTTCTAACAAAGACTCGTTTCGTCGATCGTAGTTCGTTCGTACGTTTTCTTAACAAAAATATACTTCAAGCATTTCGCCTTTATGTAATCGTTCCGCTGTTCCTGACTGAGCTTCGAAGCTTCGCAGCGCTCTAAATTGATTTTCAAAAGCTATTTGAGTTTTATTTTTATGAACGGACCAATCGATTGTTAGATTTTAGTATTAGTTGTGTTGTCAGTCTGTTTGTAACGAGACGAGGGTATTAATTTTCATGTGACAGGGAATAATGAAGGTTAATGTAATACTTTTTTTTAAAGGTCAGATGAGTTAGTACGATTTTAAATAGTAATTTAATGGCTTAATGTTTATAATTTCTGAACATAACAACGACTTGTAATACTTAGGCAACAGTAAGAACATTTACAGTATTTACCATAAATCAAATTCGACCACAATAGCCCAAATTTAAAAAAAACATTATTTTTAACTTAACAACGTCGTATAGATGACGTCACAGCGTAGGTCGACCTTAACGTGTCTATCGTAATTACAATCAGACTGATTAGGATATTATATATTTAACTAATCCCTATAAATTAGCTTGAGACTGAAAAAAAAATTAATTTACAATATTTAAAATACATAAACAAAAATCATTTTCATATATTGGACTCTTATATTGGTTTTAATGTCGACTCTTTGAAGCCTTATTCGCTTAGCAATGATTGGATTTTAATCAAAGAATGACACAAACAGGATCACATACTACACTTTTAAAAATAACTTTGCGCTACATTTAATCTAGAAAATGAACTGTATTGTAGCTATGATTTATGTTCGAATTCATAATTTTTTATACTCAAAAACGAAAACTGTGCCAAAAATAGGCTTTGGCTTAGCTTTTTAGTTTTATCCAGTTACATTTACACGAATAATATTTAATGTTTAAATGGAAGCTTATTGTTTTGACGTGACAACGTCTTATAATTCGATGGAGCCGGCTGCACGCACGATGAAGTTCAGTGCAAAATGAATGTGGTGTCAATAGTTTATAGCAATAATAATTGCGATAATTGAAAAATGAAACCATTCCATCAGTATTTTCTTATGACGTTGTCACGTTCAACTATCGTCAGTAAACCGAGTTTACAGACAACCGATTTTTTTTTGCCAAACGTTCAGCACTGCGAGCATTACAAACACTATATTAACTTGACGCGCGCATGCATACAAACGTCTCTTTGAAGCTAACGTTAGCAACATATATTATAAAAACGATTGAATTGTAATGAGGTTTTTGCTTGCACAGAGCACTCGAGCGTTTGCCCCACCATTTTAATAAGTCTTTATTTGTTTTATGGCTGTGAATTAAATTTATTGTAATATTACACTTAGTTATTTTGAATTATGGGCTTTGGTATACAACGGATTTTATTGAGAAGCCGGTACCCGTGAACACGCAAGTAGCTAAAATTCTTCAATATTTTAGAAAAATATGTGGTTTAGTTTTTTCGGATCTGCTCAAATCTTTGATTGAACTGTAGTATCAAGTGAACTCTCCGTTGTATTTCGAAACTAAATCAATATGCCCTAAAACATTACGCCTTTTAGACTGATTATAAAAAGATAATTTGTTTTGTAATTGATCGCGTATTTCCCTGAGATATGGCCTCAATTTAACTAACGTTCTTTGGTGTATTGATATTATAAAAATACAAGCTTAGCTCAAATAAATACCTTCTCACGATTCATCTCATCCTAGTATTTGCGTAAAATTGTTTTAGATATTTAGGCTTAATTCATTTTGTGTTTTATTGTTTCACTTTAAGCAACATTTTATTTAATTAAGGTTATTTTATTTGTTTGATTACACGTTCAATGATCCACATTTCAACAATATGCATATTGTAAAGTAACATGTAAAAATAATGCAGGCACATAGTAAAAGTCGTACACATTATACTGAAGTTAACTTTTCAATATTTTTTACTAAACTACAACACGTTTGAACTTCATGAATTGCAATAAAGAATCTTGGCCATAATTAACACTATTTTTACGTCACCCATATTATATCTAAGCTTTCGGCTACTTTACAGTTTTCGGGATCTCACATAATGATAATTAAAAACGAGATTAAACCGTAAAAGTACTTTTAATTATGTCCAAGGCTCGTCAAAACCGAGGAAGATAATTTCACGCTATTTCCATCAGTATTACGTACATATTTCAATTGAAAATTACATATTCGGAGGACCTTTTTAATAGCGAAATTCACAAACTCAACTTAAGATGACAAATGTACGAGTCTTTACTCAATGGCCCAGAGACATTAGATTAACTGGCACTTAGTAATACTAAGCACATTCCTATTAGATATAACAATTATACTCTTGCTGTGATCGTAAACAGTCAACATTCAAGACTTGATAATTCTAAGAAACTAATATTAATTTTTGATTATGAAAATTACAAATACAAAATTATGTTCTTTAATAGCGATGTCATAGAATTTCTTTTGGGTGAATCTATATTTAACCTTTGGATAATAATTTGTGTAGAATGTAATAACAGGAATTGGCTAATGTTTTCTTTCTGTGCACAATCAGCTACTTACTTATGCTAAGGAGCGTCGATTGAGACCTTATTTGCTTAAAAGACAGTAAGTTTAGGCAAACAGCTATGAATCGCCATACATTTAAAAAGCCAAGGACATAAATTGCGGCTTCCCGGCTTGGTCTTTTACGTAGTCTAGCAAAAACGCGTCGATATCTACTATTATGCTGAATTATATTATTGGATATTGCTAATTTTATTTAAACTAAAAACTTTTTAGTTTATTCAGAAGAAACAGTCGTATAAATCAACTAGCGAAAATATGAAGGGGTCGTTTGAAATCAAAAACTATATCTAGTTTTAAAAAAACTTATGAGAAATTCATATAATAGTGATTACAATAACGGACCTGCAAATACAATGGGAATTAATAAAACTGCATTAAGTCAGACTAATTTAGAACAACATTGTTTTGGACGCGCACCCATTTGTTAATTATTACCGGTATTTCTCATTTGAAACTACATAACTCTAAAACGAATAAAGTTTAATTAAAATTGAGCTCTAAAAGCTATACACGGCTTCAGCTTAGCACGAACATTAGCTTGAATAGCACAAAGGCTTAAACATTCCCATTACGTAACATCACAAGCGACGCAACGACTAGAGACATTCGCGATTTCAATTTGCTTCTATCGTTTCAATTTATTGCCCGGGCTGTGTGGTGATGTCACGCAATTATCGAACTAAATCAGGGGTGAGCAACCTTTTTAATCAATTAATAATTTTAATTTAATAATTTTGAATTTTTTTGGCGGGCCGCACGTAGATTAACTCTTATTAATAATTTACGAAACTTTATTTATAATAAATATTAGAATAAAAAAAGTAAAGATTTAATGTACAAAGTTTAATGCAAGATAAAAACAAACAAGAAAAGAACAGATAAACGAACAGAAAGAGAGAGAGTCGATAAAATAAATTCAATTTTAGAAATGCTTGGCGGACCGCGTGTTGCTCATCCTTGAACTAAACCAAAAATTATTCCTAGAAACGCTGGCATAGCCTCTCAAGACCAGCTTAGGTAGGAAAAAAAACTGCCTAGAACAGCGTATTAGTTTTGCGTTACAGTGATACATCAACCCTAGCTTATTATGTTCTGGACATTTCCCGTACAGCAACCAAAGCCTTGTCCTATTTTTTTTTAATGGATTTTATGACCTGGTAACTAAGACCTTTAGGTCAAGTCTTATTTTAATTTTAATGATAGCTTTTTTAAATGAAATATGATATTATGAAATGAAATGAAGTTGATTATTATGAAACATGGCATGAAATGAAATGAAAACGAAATGAAATGAAATTAATGAAATGATATGGGATGAAGTATAATTTCAGTAAAATGGTGGTCATTTACTGAGACTTTTTCACTGGACTTTTTGGAAGATCCCGAGAAGTTACGTTCAGGGACATTGTTTCATTTTCCCACATTTGTGCACTTTCACAGATACTAAACAGTTAATAAACCACCGTTATTACGCATTTAAACCTGAAGAAACACTAAATAGACAAAATAAAACAAATCACACAACTTCACTCCTCGCGTTCCCGCCGAAAAGTCCAGTCTTGTACTAAAACCAGCATTTCGTACAGAGGGCTGTAATAGCTGTATTGACTAAACACTTGAACATGTAATCTGTGTTAAAATATCAATTGTTCACATTGTTAGTCGTGAGCTGTCGTTATTAAAATAATATATAAATGTTAACTTTTTCAGGGACATTGGCACATAATATGTGTATCTTATTGAACTGTTTTCAATATAAAATGCACAAATCGCAATAAAGAACAAATTAAATTCAAGTTTTATAAACTTTAATCAAATGATCCCCGAAGAGGTTAAAAGTAAATATTGGATGAGTTTTAATAGGCTTGTCCATAAGCATTGTCGAATTTCACTAAAAAAATCAAACACTGTTATTACTTACTCTTATTGGAATTGAGAAGCTTAACATGTAATAACTGCATCAGTTTAAGGTTATCGTTCTTCAAATTGACAAGTTTTTTTCTCTTCTACGTTATCTGTTATTTTTTTTTGTAATTCAATTCTAATATTATATTGTCATAATGATCGCGCCCTCGTGCAAAGAAATTAATAATAGCAATTGTTTGTATTGTGTTACTTGATGTATGTATAATTTTGCACAGAAATTTGAATGGTCGTGAATGTTTTGAATTTATTACAAATTTAAATACATTACATCTTAACTTCATCTATCTTAGCTGCATACAATTACTAAATATTTTATTACGCATCTTATGCATATTTATGCATATTACGTTTATGCATATTATGTTTACGAACGTGCGAATTTCTTGTCGTTGAAAACGCGTTGTAAACTATATATGTATATTTTTAAATCAAGAAACGATTACGATAATTGCACAAACATAGCGACAAAATATACTAACTACATAGTTTTTTGCACAATTTAATTATGAAATTTCTCGTGCCTATAAAACTTTTTATATTTAGATAATTTTATATAGATAATTACTATTATAATAATACCACATAAACATATGTAAATATTCAAACACATATTGTATTATATCGATATTTCAACATCAGAGCAAAATATTATGTGCAGATGAAAAGGACAAATCACAACTGGTGTTCCGCGGCTCTTGGCTTTGTGGCCAAGGATTGGAGCACCCATTTCTTCCCGTGGGGGTCCCGTAAAAGACAAAGGATTCACAGGGAAAGGGTAGCCTCCTGGAATGTCGTATTGTAAGCCCACACGGGTGTGCCCATCCAGCTTATTTCTGCCGCGAAATAGCGATACATTGCGATCTGAAGGGCGGAACAGCTTTTATGCAATGCAAGACTAGGACCTCAAATTTCAAGGTCAGGTCTGGGGATTTGTTATTATTTAATTAATAGTGAACGAAGAACTATGTAGACTATGAAGGCCAATTTACATCAATAAACCCCTCCCCATTATTTGCTTGTGCCGATTTATAACAAGTTCGAAATTCTGTGTCAATGAAATTGAAGTTTTGCTCTGATGTTGAAACAGAACGCATTTTATTATACTCTATTATGAATATTACATTATTTTATTAGTGTAAGTGAGCGACGCTCCGATGTCCGCTTACCGCTAGCTGATGCCGTCTTTCATCACTTAAGTCGGAGTGTATAACTTGTAGCATTGTTTACGAGTGTCTTCGAAATGTGATTTGAATGAAATTG